AGCTAACTTTGCCTACTGCTTAAGCAAACTCGGGGAAAACAAGAATACATCAAGACCAGGAAAAAGGAGACGCCTGGATGAATGATCGTTTGCTAACCAGAGGAACAGGGATCGCGATGAGAAAAAGGTAGGCGGGGATTTTCGGCAATCAAGTGAAGACGATGCCAATGAGCAATGTCTGTTAGTATGGTAGTCAGGGAGCTAGGTGGACCGATAAGCAAACCGTGACAGAAATTCGACGTTATTGTCAAAATGTACTACAAATCCACTTCAGATTCAGCATGCAACCAAAGGTAGGCGTCCACAGTTTGCTCAGGTTACACGGATTTATCTAAGTAGACGACCCGTGAAGGCAATGCCTGGTATCTGCAAGCATGGGAATCGAAGGAGATTACATCGGAAACAGCGCTAGCATGATTCTTGCAGTAAATCCAATCGACAGCTGATCAAGAGGAATTCGCTGTTGTCTTCTGGTGGAACGGACCTTCGAATCTCTTCACACAACAGTTTCACTCGAAATGGAAGTAAGCTCAACAGCAATGGGAATCAAAACCTAGGTGCTCTGCTTGGTGAGGCGGCAGTGTACATGTCTCTAGGGTATTGAGAAGTAGCGCTTGGAGAAAAATGCGCACTAAACTGGAACCGAGTGAAATCGGTCAACCAGAAAGATAAGGAACGGATCTCGGAGACAATGAGGCGATCCGGATTGGAGGCCCGAGTCGGATCAGCCGATCGAAAGAGAGGGGGTCGAGGTGAGTAGGAAGTGTGATAAGGCCACATTAGATTTGCCACAAAAGGGCACACATTTTGATGAGTGGGATGCAAAAAAGTCAGAATTTGTGAAAGGGCGGGTGCTGGATAAGAGGGTAAAGAGTAAATAGATGGGCCAGGACAGAAAGAGGAGTGATACTGTAACCGTTTTCGGCAGAACGTTGATCGAGATATTGACTTGTCCCTTTGACAAATTCGTAACTTTGTGCGGAGAATGGCAGCAGTCACTGATAATCCCGACTCCGATGTCGGCGAAACGTCTGAGAATGTACCAAGTCCACTGTCTTATGCTGAGAATTATGATAACTATAATGGCAGAGAACTTCATACGAGGTGCGTTCTAATAAGTCGCCCTAACAGCAAGAACAAGTTGCGACAACGAGGTCAACTCACTTCTATAAATCGAAAGGAGACTGCGAGCATACCGAGAGCCACAGTATCCTGGTCTTCATATATTCGATCAACAATTTATTTTTTAATCGAAAGAATGAAGATCAAGATGGTGTGGCCTTTTGTATGGCCGCAGTCCTCTTTCGTTGTATACAGGTTATTTGACTTTGTTTCCGCAACTTGATCACATTGGTAGGTAGACTTAAAGGAACGCACCTAATCCGGAGTCCATTGTTTGCATGATCATTTCCAAACTCGGACCGTAGACGTGGTACATTGCCAGACGTCCCCTGCTCTAGTCTCTTGTGTGCCAACCCACAAAAGCAAGCAATACCACAACATTTGTGGGTTTGCACACAAGAGACAAGGGCATGGGAAGTCATAGACTTGGTATTAGGGATAGAAACAGGATAGACGCGGCCGAGGCTGTAGATAGTTGGCTGACAGTAGGTTTTACCAGCGAAGTCGTCCATGCAGCAAAGGCGTGACCATGGACTAGGTGCATTCCTCTAAATCTTCTTACCAATATGATAAAATTTATTTTTTGTTTGAAGAACAACTAAGCAAGGATTAAAAATGCAAGGATGATAAATGTGCCTATCATATGTATGAACGAGAATAGATGAGCTGACTAAATTGGAACCTTTCCGAAAATTCCTCTAGATAAATCGCTGCCTATAATCACAATAGGCTGAATAAAGAGTTAGGATTAAGGCAAAAATAAAATTTAAAGGGATCTCTAAGAATTGACTTTATTAAAATTGACTAGGATTAGCGCTAAATCGAGATGGAAGAGGTGGTCAGATGAAATAAGGCAAAAAAGATTAGAGAAGGCTTCAGAAATGAAGCAT